GTCTCTAGCTACATAAACAATCTTATACTTAATCATCTCCAAAATATGAATAAATCTTCAACATATTAATGTAACGATGTAAATTCCGTTTATTGTCACGTGAGTGTATAAAATGTTCTTGTTTTCTTTTGATGTTTACAATATTTCTCAAATGAACATAAAAAGAATTGATAATTGGCATTACGCTCATCCTACACTGGACCAATGTACACTGAAGATAGGAGAAACTTCGCAGGCTCAAAGATCCAGAATTAAATTTCAATAAAATCAGGCCAGTACAAAAACAATCAAGTATGTTCAAGATCAAATAATTCTTGGTGGATGAATGTCAAAACTAGCAAAATGGTTATAGTAGCTTGCCATATTATTCACTTCTTGACTTGAAGGTACAAATAAACTTTCTAGTTTTCAAATTAAATAAGAATTATTTCGGTGCAATATAGATTTTGATTTATTCCACCACCGCTTTGTCCTTACCATCAGGTGTTTGGATAATCCTGTTAAATCTGATACCTAATGCTAAGCTCAATGTTAAATTTAATATTATCATTTTAATTTTTCGAAAATAATTTTTTAAAGGAACGAACCTGGTAAAGAAAAAGTAAAAGTGGAAAAATTAGAGAGGGAAGGTGTATTTTTTGACCAAGAAGACTATTTGCTTAAAAGATTTAAGAGATAAAGTTATTTTTAAAAATTTTTGTAAATATGAAACTAAAAATCCACCCGAGAGAACAAAAAAGTCTTTGCTCTACAGCTTATAATTGTACACAATCGAGAAGTAAACAAATAAACTTTACCATAAAAATTTTTCTACCACCATTGTTCTACATGGAAAGAAGGCTTGGGGTTAAAAACATCAAGGGTTTATTCTCCCAACTCTGCCAAAATTTTTCATTTTTTACTTGTCAGGATATTATGTGGCTTTTTTCAAAATTGGCTTCTTGAAAGCAGTCGGAACTCGATAAAATGAATTTTTGTTATGACAGAGTTTTTCTGGTTTACCTATTCATTTATATTCCTATTGTTTCACTCTAATGTTTAAGACGATTATTACATATGGTTTCACATATAATAAATTATACGAATAACATCAATTTATCAAAATGTTGAAAAAGAGAGAAATATGCATTATAAACAATCAAAACCTACTCTAACGAACAAAGACATTGCTACTCGTTTTAAAATTCGTTAGGAGTCAGCATTTTATTATATAGAAGTTCGCTAGTAGTATAGACGAATATATAAATTTTGATGTATAACTTTATAAACCCGAATTTTTTTTTTAAAAAAAATTATATTAACTTCATTTTATCAAAGCTTACTTAATAAAACGATGCTTTGAGCCCAAAACAAGTACATCGGTTTAACGAGTTCCGATTATAGTGGAAACAAAGACATTCAACGTTCAAGGGAAGGATTAAATAACATAATGATTTTAATTTATATATAGTCAACCCCACCCCCCTTGGGAACATATCAGCATAATCTCGGGAATTAGAAGTATGTGCATTTAGAGAGGGTGCACTAAAGAGTATTATTACCTATTCTTTGGTACTTTATTATTGTTATCAATTTTAATATTACTAATTTTTCTTTCTTGATTTTCTATACCATCACCATTTCTTCTTCTATCTTTCTTTCTTTTCTTTTCTTTATTAATCTATTGCTAGATTGCTTATTTTTATCATGGATGCAGCAACATCAAGTAATTCATAGATTTCCACCACCACTTTACTAGAGGAAAATTTTGAATCCAATTCAATCTTATCAAATAATTGCTTGAAATCCTTCCATCACTTACTAATGGGTTAGTTTTATTTATTTTTTATTTTTCTTGGTTCTATTTTATTGATTGATTATTTGAAGCCAAGGAAGAGCCCAATTAGCAACCTGTAAAAAAGTTTACAGTTGGGGGCATTTTTATTAATTGCAAATACTTTATTATTTGGCTTTTTAAACAAAAATAAAACTATATTGTTGAAGGATTTGTAGTTTTAATACTCGGGATTATCAAATGGTTGACATAGTATTAGTATTTATTTACATTGTTTTGACGCAAATCATGTTTATGAAATTAATATTTTTATGGTTACATTTTATTTAATAATAATAATAATAATAATAATAAATACTTCTGTTTTCGTTTCTTAGGATTAAAAAAGATTATTATAAATATCACACCAGCAAGCACCAATTCCAAGAATAGTAAATCTCACTTTTTCGATACATCTTTTTTTCCCATTATCTCCGTTAAATTTTATCCCGTAATTGTTTGGGTTTTTGTTGCGACATACCCCATATGAGAGTACTTGTGGAATAGACTTCACAATAAGCAGGCTTTATAGATTCATAAATTAATAATTTTGGTAAGAATCACCTAAAATGACCTTTCTTTTTTTGGCTTCACAACAACTTAAAAGTTTGGTTTGGCCCTGAAAACCTTTAAAAATGGCCCAAAAATTTTAATGAGATGGTTGATTTGATTTGTACAAAAAAAAAAATCATGTTTATTTCGTGCATTAATACTAAAAGTTTTAGGCCTATATAGAAAAAGAAGCTCGAGTAATGTGTGTATGTACATACAAAAAATTTCAAGGTATTTGATATGTGTTTTAATATGCTCGTTTAAAGTAGCCTACAATATAAATGTCGATCATACACATTTTCAATTAATTCCAGCCACAATAAACAACCAATGAGAAAAATTTTAACTATGCTAAATTCAGGTTTGAAGATTGTGATCGTTGGATGGCGGGAGGTCCCGTAACAGTGTTATTATAATGAAGTTATAAATAGTAGCAGTAAAAAAAATCATTATAAATTTCTATTTTTAGAAAGCACAAACCTTTTTTTTTCACAATCATTAGATCAATCAATCAGTATTAGTAATCTACATAACCAATCCGATATTTGATATGATCGCAAAAAATTTTTTTGATCGAATTTTCTTTGAAACATCTGATTCCTCCTCAAGGATATTACAATACGTGCATATGTCTACATTGTCGTTTTAATAAAAACCAATTTTGGTAAAATTTATTAATTAAATTAATAATTCAAAAAAAAAAAAAATAGAGATCCCTTGCATATGTTGTTTGTTATCTGTTTGTACCAATAAAAGATTATTCCAGAAACTGATCCATTCATTCTAACTGTTGTTGTATTATTATTATTATTATGTCTTTACTGACGCAATACTTATCACGGGGATCTTATTTAACACGTAGAGAATTTTTACTGCTATTACGTATAAGATGGATTGGCCGAATAATACAATTTTCCTTGTATAAGATGAATTCGCCAAGAATACAATTTCTACGTATAAGATTGATTCGCTAAGCAAATACAATTTTTACTGGTGGAAATTTCTATTTGGTCAACGACTTTTGTGTAACCAGGTCATACGACACCCATAGTCCCTTGGTTCATGTTGATTGTGATAATAAATATTATGTTGTATCATCATTATTACGTTACATACGTTACATCTTCATATTGTTAATTTCGAATTGGATTGATTCTATACATACAACGATAAAGCGACATCCCCAATTTCCTTTTAACACAACGATTAACAAATCCTCTTTATCCGTCTTTTTAAAAAAAAATCCTTTCCTCCTTGTAACACAATCTTATTTATTGGAATACAGTGAGTGTCGCACAAAATCTATTCTTAGAAAAAAAAAAATAATTTGATTGTTCATAAAAAAAAAAAGGTCACCAACTAAAACTCCCAATATTTTTTTTGAATAATTTCTGGTTTTAATTCTTGTTTAATTAAATTTGTTATCTACAATCTCCTTTCCTACCAGAATATAATTCCATATTTATTGCCCCTGCTTTTTCTTAAAATATATTAATGTTAATATTAATATTTAATATTATTATTTTATTTTATCAAAAAAAAAGACCCTAAAAAATAAATGGGTAACATAACAATAATACTCCCTCTCTCATATGATCTTTCATCACCAGTTATATGTTGTGTATGTATAAATTATAATATAATGAAATATTATAAAATAAATATATTTAATTAGTAAATGAAAATGTTGGTTTATTATTATTATTACATAAATAGACTTGTTCTTCAACTTGCTCACCATCGTATTTTTCAAGTGTGTTACCAACCACACAATATATAAATATATTTTTAACTCCTCTGAGCTATTCTTACCATTAAAAATTTTTTTTTAAAAATAATTTTATTTTTTTTTATTTTTTTATTTTTTATCCAACTTCACCTTTTTTTATCTCTCATATATAAATATAAATTTATATAAATATCCATAATTTATATTTATATATAAATATATATAAATATATACAAATTTATAATAGAAAATAAAAATTCTTTGTGGTAAAAAAAGAACTTCCAGGAATAACTTTGAACTTGAAAAAAAACACACCAACTACTCGCCTATTCACACAAACGCGTCCACATCAAAAATATACTTTGCGAATTATCAAAAAAAATTTTTTTGATTTTTTTTAAAAAAATAAAATAATTATTTTCTCCTACTTTTAAAGTGTAAGTGTTCTTTTTTAATTTTATTTATTTATTGATTAATTTTTTTCTTTAATTTCTTAAAAATTTTTTTTGGAATTCAATTCTTTTTTCCATTCACATACAACATACAACATACACTACAACATACTATTGCAATTATTATTATATTGATATATTTTTAAAACAGCATTACCATTAAGTCCATCATAAAAAACTTTCTTTTTTGTTATTAGTATTTTGTAAATTTTTACTATATATTGATTTTCTCATTTCTTTCCTTCAGATATTATGCATTCCTTTTCACAAATCTTTATCCTTTCAATGTTGTTTTCACAAACATATACAATAAACAACATTATTAAAATAAATCTTTTATTTTATTTTTAAAAAAAAAAAGTTCATTATCTCTCACTTCTCTCTCTCTCTCTCTCTCTTCGACAATATTTCATCTACCTGACAATCAATTAGTTCAAACAATAATAATTAAAACATGGGACGTAAAAAGATTCAAATAAAACCAATTAAAGATGAAAGGAATCGTCAAGTAAGTAATGAGTTTTTTTGATTATTTTTATTACTTTCAACTTATTTGTGATTACTTAACGGTCATTAATTATCAGGTGACTTTTTTGAAAAGAAAATATGGCTTAATGAAGAAAGCCTATGAATTAAGTGTATTATGTGATTGTGAGATAGCTTTAATCATTTTCAATTGTAATAATAAACTTGTTCAATACGCAAGTACAGATATTGATAAAATTCTATTAAAATATACAGAGGTAAAAAATCATTATAGTATTATAATTGAAGTTTATAATAATTATTTACTTACATATTGTTATTTTGCAATTTGTTATCAGTATAGCGAACCTCATGAGAGTAAAGGAAATCATGATGTAAGGATTATAATATAAATCGTTTTATTTTATTATTTTTAATTTCTTCCTTTTAATAATTAATATATGATGATAAATTTATAAAATTATTATTTAGTTTGCTAACACAATTGATAATGACGATGATGAACCTCCACCAGGATTTGATACGACAGGGATTGATCATAAGGTTAGGTTTCAATTCTTATTCCAATTTATAAATGGTTTTTTAAGTTCACATTTTAATGTCGTGTTTTTTTTTGTCTAACAGCGATATGGAATGCCTTCACCACAATCCAACTATCAACAAACACCCCCACCTCCTCAATCTTATCAAATAAGCAATTATCCAATGTATGCACCATCTCCACCTGCTTACTTAGTTCAACAAGTAAATACTCCAATACAAATTATAATATAAATATTTAACCCTTATTTCATATGCTCTTACATTTAATTAATTTTCTTTTTCTTTGTTTAAACTAGCCACAACAGTTTTACTCACAAGCAAATCAGCAAATACATCACCAACAACAACAACAACTGACAATGTCTCTTATGCACAATCCTGTTGCCAACGTTGTACAAAATCAAATGTCCAATCAAATACCTAATTCAATAAATAATCAAATAACTAATCAAGCACCTAACACAATACCTCACCCTCCTCCACAAACCACAATACCAATTAACATGCCTAATTCTACAAATGCAAATTCTTCCAATAATCCGTCTTCATCTTCAACTAACAATAATAATAACAACAACAACAACAATACTACTTTACCTATATCTTCCAACACTCCACAAATATCGATATATAACGTGAAAACTGAAAATATTCAAAAATCTAATGTTAATCAGAATAATGGTAGTAATTGTAGTATCAATAGTACTGGTAGCAGTAGCAGTAATGCTAGTGGTAATGGTAATACTGTTCACATATCACAGTCACAATCACCTGTACAAATTGAAACTTCTATAATTGCTGACTTGGTTCCATCTCCTTTAGTGTCTTCACCTCCTAAAAAACCAAAACTCCGTGTTAAAATTCCAGAAGCTAGCGATAAGCAATCAAGTTCCAATACAAACCAACAAACAACTCAACAGCAGCAACAATCACAATCACAAGATCAATCGCAAGACCAATCACCTGAACAACCATCTGAAACTCCCGCTGATTCTCAACAACCTACCACTTCACAGCCTGTAAGTGTGATTCCATTCCATAGAATTTCATATATATATCATCTATATCATATATATATATATTAATGATAATATATTAATAAAATTATGAATGACTCTTTTAAATTTTTTTAGTTGCAATCATCTCGTCCAACACCTGCAACTGCAGATGCTCCAACCTCAGCATTAACATCATTTGCACAAAATCTACCATCACCTTCCACATTCTTCTCTGAATTTTATAAAACAACAGAACTTCCTAGTCCACTTACATTTGGTAACACTCCGACTAGTGCTCAACCTGGCCCATTCCATTGGCCAAACCCTAATAGAAACTCTTATCAACCTTCTCCATTATCAAAACAAGAAAATAATACAAACATTGCTAATAATGGTATAAATGTCATCAATAATAATATTGGCAATGTTAATGCTTCATCGTCATCCTCGTCATCATCTTTAACTAAACTACGTCCTCCACCAATTGATGGTAATGAAAATGAACCTGATAAAAAAAAACTAAAACAATAGTAACATTTTAAATAGTTGGAAAAAAATCTTCTTTATAGTTATTATAGTTGTAATATTAACGTTTATAATTTTGATTATTTGATTTTTTTCAAAAACAAATTTTATATTAAATATTATGTAGATAAATAATAACAAACAATTTTTATTTTCTAATGCAAAAAAAGTATTCAAAAAAAGGACTTTGTTTTATCACAATAGAAAGTAGATGTGTGATTCGAATAGTGATTGTGGCGGGATGTGTGAGATTGAAGATATAAGAACGCCAATTTATAAAATTTTTATCTTTATTTTTTCTTTTAAACTGAACAATGGGTTTTTTTATTGTGGTTGGTTGGGAAAATATGACTTTCAAATTTTTTTTTTTTTTTTTAGCAAATTTACGTATATGTATATTTGTGTGTATATGAAACCTTAATTTTTTTTCACATGAACAGACTTTGTCTTAACGCGTATTTTTATAATTCAATTTTTATCCAACATTAGGGGAATATTTTATTATTTCTTTACATATTTACAATTTACATAATAATAACCTCTCATCTAACTATATAGTAATAATTTCATCATTACATCATTAACTATATTCATTTTATACAGATATAAATCTTATAAAAATTTTCAAATAATAAATAATAAAGAAAAAATTTTTTTTTAACGTTAACATGTAGATCAATATAATTTTGATTAATATTAAAAAAAAAAAAATCATGACTAAAAGAAAAAGAAATTCTATAAATTCTAATAATAAAAATGACAACAAAGACGATATTAATAATGGAATTAGTAGCAGCATCGTTAATAATAATAATAATAATATAATAAAAAGGAACAACGAAGATAAATCTGAATTTGATTTTTTAATTATTTCAGGAAGTTATGAAAGAATTTTATATGGCATCAAGGCAAAATGGGTTAAACAGGATTCTGAGAAAGAGAAAGAGAAAGAGGAGAAGGAGGAAATATTACAAGAAAACGAAAATGGAAATGACAATAACGTATTATTATTATTACTTAATTATCCAATAATAAAGAAATAAAATTTATTGATTTTTTTTTTTTTTGGGAAAAAGGAGGATTATTCGTTGAAACTAGATCCAATATTTATTTTCCCTGCTCATATTGGTTGTATTAAGTGTGTTGCTGTAAGTGGTAGATATTTAGCATCTGGAAGTACTGATGAAGTTATCAAGTATGTTAAAGTTTTTTATTTTTTAAATAAAAATGATCGTTCTTATAAATGACACACACACATATATTCATGTTCATATATGCGAGTGTAGATTATATAATTTAAAAAAACGCAAAGAGCTTGGGTCATTGTTGAAACATGAAGGGTCGATAACAACGTTAAAATTTTATAATAAAACCAACATGTTAAGTGGTAGTGATGATGGATTGATATGTATATGGAGAACAAAAGATTGGGAATGTTTGAAAAATTTGAAAGGACATAAAGGTCGTGTTAATTCTTTGGATATTCATCCAACAGGAAAGATTGCATTGTCGGTTTCAATTGATAGGACTGTTATTCTATGGAATTTGTTGAATGGAATAAAAGCCAGTTCAAATAAATTAGGAAGAGGTTATCATTAACTTTATTGTTGTTGTTGTTATTATTGTTATTAGTGTGGGTGATTTAATCGTGGTAATCCTTTGGTATTTAAATATTTAAATTTATAGAGGGTGAAGTGGTATTATGGAATCCATCAGGAAATCAATACGCAATATTAATGGCACATGAGATAGAAATCTACAATATATCAGTTAAGATCATAATGATAATTATTATTATTTTTGAGGAGGGATTTATTTTCAAATCAATGGAAATTTTTAATTAATTAATCTTATTAGGATGCAAAGGTTGTGCAAAAATTTGAATTGAAAACTTCAAGATATTTATGTATGCAATATTATCATCATCATAAAAACGATGTCGATGATGACTTGTTGATAGTAGGAAGCGAAGATAAATTAATAAGAATATATGATGTAAAAAATGGTGGTTGTATATTATCAATATCGGGTCATAAAAATAGGTAAGTAAATACCTGTACATATTATTCTTATAAATTATATATACTGTATATTCGATCTTATACATATTAATAAAATCTTTTTTTTTGGCGGGAAAATTATAAAGAATTAAAGATCTTGCGCTTGTTCAATCATCTCCTCCCATTATTAATAATGATGATGATAACAATAAACCTGGACCTTTGACTATTTTGGCATCTATATCATCAGATGGTATGATTAATTTATGGAATCTGGATCAATATTTATTTCCTCGAGAACAAGATAATGATGATAAACATAAACAAGAACAACAACAAATTAAACCATTATCATCATATGATACCAAGAGTAGATTAACATGTCTTGCTATTTCACAACAACAATTAGAATAAAAAAAATTTCAATTCAATAAAAAAAAACTATTAATGATAATAATATTAATTTTTTTTGCTTTTGCTTTATGTGTTTATATAATATGTATTATTTAAAAAAAATTTTTTAATAAATTTCTAATTGCTTATTATTAATTAATTATTGATTTTTTTTTAATGTCAAAAAAAATTCTAAAAAAATCTTAATAATTCTAATAATAAATTAAATAAATAATAATATAAAATAAATAATTAATTCAAACCTCCATAAATAAAAATAAAATAACCAAATTACATTTATTTTTCTAATATTAAATATAAATTAATAAAAATTATAATTGTTACAAAGTATTATTAAATAAAAAAATATATTATATTATAAAATATTACTTCTACCACTCTCTTTTCAATAATTATTTGTAAATAAGAGAGAATAAAAGATAATTATTCGTCACATTATTGTTATTATATTATTATAATGAAATGGATTTCTTTCTTGTTTATTAAGCCTTTTTTCCAAAGAGTTTATTTCCTTTTGAGATACTAATATACAAATAAACAATAAATTATTAATCAATTAAACATTTAAATTCATAATAATTATAATATTAATTTTAACAATACTATCATTAAAAAAAATATTAGGAATGATAATTACGTTGCATTTTTACTTTGCATATATAATTCTTGGAATTCACGTTCTTCAGCAGCAATTAATAAACGTTGTTCTTCTAATTCAGCCATAAGCTCTTGTCTACGTTGATTCAACTAATCATAACAATAACAATAATCGATCAATAAATCGATTAAATAACTATTAATAAACAAACAAACAAACAAATAAAATGTAACTAATTACTTGTTCTTCTCTTTCCCTTAAAGAAGCTTCTTTCTCTCTAACTTTCATAACAAAGTTTTGTCTCATTTCTTCTTCTTTTCTAATCATTTCTTCGGCAATAGTTTGTTTGCTTCCTTCAATCCTATGTTCATAAGAATCGTCACATGCAAGTATAGATTCGGGGCGGCCACTGGAACGAAGTTTCTTGGCACGATAATTATGATAGTGAACTGTATGAGTTGTCTCGAGAAGGTCATGAAGTGCATGTGTCATTAAAAGTTCACGGAGATGAATAAAATCGCAATGTTGTTCGTTTTCAACTAAATTTTATAAATATAAATGGTAATTATGATTATTAGCAAATGATTACTTACATTTAAATAATTAAACGATATTAAATTTTTTTTTTCCATTATGACTAACCTTCAACAACTCCCCATCTATATGATCTACCTCTTACTTTTTTTCCATTAACGTCCACAAATTGATCACTACCAATGACTGTGAATGGAATATATTTCTATTATTTTTATCCAAAATATATATAAATGAATATTTTTTTTTTATCGTTGAAAAATAATATAAAATTTTCACCAACAATTAATCATACCTCGAGATCATCAACACTTTCTCTATCATCTGGATATGCAGTAGGGAAAATTCTGATATCATTGGCTTCGATATCTCTTAATATCTATCCCATAATAAAACACACATGATTTTGTATAAATTTTCGTTTATATATAGAAAATTTAATAAAAAAAAAGAATTGAAAACATACAGTTTTTTTGAAGGAAGCCTTTTCTTCTTGTGTAAGAGTATCAGCTTTAGCAATAACTGGGATGATATTTACTTTGGTTGATAATACTTGAAGTGCCTTGATATCAAGCTCTTTAAGACTTTTTTTTAAAACAAATAAAATAAATAACATATATAAATAAGGAATAAAAATAGATAATATAAATTATTAAATAACGTACGCATGACCGGTTGGAGCTATGAAATATAATACAGCATGTACACGAGTGTCTGGTATTGCACGCCTGAATTCAGGACTACGTTCTGCAGCATGGTATGCTTCAAATTGATTATCAATATAATCCACAATAGGATCAAGACTATATAAAGTAATTAAATTTTATTATTCTTAATTTTAATGAATCTATCAATTATTTGATTTATTTAAATGTCGAAACACTTACTTGTGTTCACGATTAAGTTGATCACCAAATCCGGGTGTGTCAACTACTGTAAGGTTAAGGGTGACGCCATCTTCAACCAATTCTATTTATTATAGAAGAATAAAGAAAACTATGAATATATATGTATTATCAAAGCTGCTGGCGTAAAGGGGTAAACCCCTAATTTAGTAACGAATAGCTTGACTAAAGTTAGCTCATTAAGGTTATGTACCCAGCCCTAATATATATATATATATGTATACTATAAGAACTACATCGATATTGTATTACTGACCATAATGCACCGGACTGATTTCTACGGTTTTTGTGGATTGTGGAGTTTTTGGATAAATTTCTTCTTTAAGTGGGGTGTTGAATAAAGTGTTCATAAAAGTGGTTTTTCCAAGGCCGCTCTCACCTTTTCATTATTATGAAGAGGATGATCAATAAATTATCATTAAAAATCAATCAATCGATATTAATCTTTTTTTCTACTGCAAAAGAAAAATATATAGAACTTACCAACTACCATGATGTTGAGAACATATGGTGTTCTTTTGGTTTTGTTGAAGCGTTGCCTGGGGAGAGCCTCAATACCAAGTGTATCTCTAAGAGCTACCTCGCGAGTTTGAGGAATCTTCCATGGACCGGGATCTGGGAAAAGACCTCTAAAGGTAACACGAGTGATAAGGTAAATGATCATTAATCATTGAATTATTTAAAATATATTCCAACTAAAACACTTTATAATTATTCGTCCTCTTTGTTAGAAATTTGATAACGTGTCTTACCTGTGTTGAAGAGCGTATTCCTTTTATTGTAAAAACAAGTAAAATTTAATAATTATTAAATAAAAAAAAAAGATGCGTGAGTAAAATATATTATATTTTTATTATATAGTAAATATTATATATACATATTTGTAAACATACCAAAGGCATTATTATATTGATGTCTTACTTTTTAATGTATATTAATAAAATTAAAAAGGAATGGCTTTTATTTAAAAAAGATGGGCGAGAAGAAAGAAATGGTTTAAAATTTTTTAAGTCTTGAAATTATTTGTGATGAAAATTCAAATTTTAAAAAATATTAATTAAAAAACTAAACGTTCACTACACGTAATAGTAATAATTATAATAATGTATAGTTTATTAAAAATAAAAGACTATTATTATAATCAATTGATAAAAATTTTTCTTTATATTCCCAATTAAAATTTTTTTAAAAATAATTTCACAAATTAAATTTACATTTTTATTATTTGCTGTTAATTTTATTTGTTGTTTATTTATGATTATCTTATCTTGTTATAGCAATAAGATTTTTTATTCGTTCTTTATTTAAAATATTTGTGCAAAATAAAGTTAACAGTTAGCTAACATTAATTAATGCAGTCAGGGATTTTGCTAAATTTGGTATTTCTTAATTTATAAATGATAAACATTCTGGAATTTCCGGAAGAAATTTT